CCACGGGTGGTCCCGAATTACATCACAGAAATATTGACCTAAAAGTTTCAGATCACATATTAGGGTCAAGTCAGGATACATTACAACCAAGGGTAGGAATTAATACAGCAATTTATCAGGATAATTTATTTTTTGAATTTTAGACAGTTTTTGATTAAACTGCTTAACACAAAGCCTCAATTATAATGATATTTAGAAATACATAAAACTTATAAATAAATAACATCAATTATATCTGAAAATAACCCTCTTCTATAATCCATGTGCTTTCCCCTTGCTTTTTTTTTTCTTAAAGTTGATGGAAAGTGTTATGATTATGGAGAAGCTGTTTATCAAACCTTTAAAAGTGAATTTTCAAACCTTTTGTAGCTGGAATTTGATCATTTGGTACGTATTTTGCCTTGGCTGCTATTAAAATTTCTAAAAAATTATAAAGATTTCCCATATCTTATGTTCATATTTTTAGATTGCAACTCTAATTCCAAGAAGTTTTGTTTTTAAGTTGTTTTAATTTGTTTAGTTTTGTTTTTGAATTTTCAGTCCTTGAAAAAATTTTAAACAAGTTACATGATAGCATGATTGAAAAGAAATAGTAGAATAGAGAGGGGAAGGGAGGCCGCAAATATCAGTCCACAGTCACAGTTGATAAATTTTAGGAACTCTAGGTCTATGTAACTTTCTTAAATTGAAGTCTGTAGCCTCAGTTGATTTCATTGAGCACTTTTTGTCAAGTGAGTGATGTTAATTTCTACCTAGATCTCATTCTTACTTTCACAAGCTTTACTATGACTATACAGTAAACTAAGTGTGGGTGATGAGTATATTAGACTTCATTATTGTGTGAAAATTTGGGGGCTGAATTTTGTTTTAGAGCACCAGTTGTTGTGGTATTTTCTTCTGTTTGAATCAACTATAGTGTAAAATGTCAGAACAATACATTGGAACCAATACTCCTTGAGTAAAAATTACCCATGTACAGATGGTGGCAAGAGTGATCAATTAAACTCTAGATGTGTAAGTACCATAAGTACATATTCAGAGTTGTGAATGGAATAAGGATTCCCACAGTATTAATCCACCTTCAACAAGCCATGCAAATAAAGAAAGTGAAACACAATCTATTCTATACATTTTCCACAATCTCAATTGCTGTAACATGAGAAATGGTTTCTTAAAGGTAGACGCTCAACTGCTTTTAGACCACAAAGGTCCATCAGTTTACAGCTGGAGGCTTCTATCCATCCAGAATATTTTGTGCTCTTATGGACAATAGTCCTACTGTTAAAAATAGATTTTGTATCCTTGAGGGTAATGTGCTTTTAAGTCATGGTATGATTTTGTTTTGCCTTAATTTCGCTTTTATTTCTAAGGATTTCTTTAAAAGGATTCCTTTTACATATAACATATATTCATTGTAACATAACATTGGGATTTTCCTCTGTATTTTCACTAAGGATTTTGTATAAACCAAAAGTTACCTCTAACAAATTTTTTCCAATTACAAAGTATTGATGTTATTTCTAGAAACATATAGGAAACTATAAAACACAATAAAATTACTCATAATCCACACAGAGATAAACACCATTAGTATTTTGGTGTCCACGTTCCCATATAAAATACTTTTTTTAAAAGGAAGAAGAAATATGGCATCTATGGTGCATTTAAACTGTAACTAGAAATAATACTAGAAGCATGATTATATATATTTGTGAATATTTTCTTTTCTAAAAGCTATTATGGAGAATACTGACATATAGCTCCATGAAATAGAAGTTAAGACAGAGAGGGATAGATTTGTAATTCCCATTATCAAGAAAATTTCAAAAAAAATTAAATGTGATTAATTACGAAATATCACTATAAAGAAGAATAAGAATAAATAACAAGAACAATGAATAAACTCACTATCAAGACATATCTCTAAAGTGATGAAGAACATCAAGAAGCACAATAAAAAACTCAGAATTGTACAACACAAAGAGGGAACCCTGTATAAACTCTGGACCTTAGTGACTAATAATGTATCAATATGGGTTCATCTGTACCACACCAAAGCAAAATGCCAATAATGGAAGAAACTGAGGGGTAGGGGAAGGGAATATAGTGAACTCTACTTTCTACTCAGTTTTTCTGGAAACCGAAAACTGCTCTAAAAAATATATGTCATTTTTATTAAAAAAATAAGTAAAATAAAACAACATGAATCTTAAAACCTCAATACTTCCCTGATGGAGTTTCTACCTGTGTGTTTGCTGATTCTTCTTCCTCTGCTAAGCCCTTAAATAGTGACCACGACAGCCTTTTCTCTGTCCTTTTTCTTTTTCTCTGATCTACTTTTGCTGAATTAGTTCACCCACTTCCATGCCTTCAGCTGCTACTTATCACCTACCACTTATTTCCTCCCTTTCTTCCATTAAAATACCCACTCTTCCTTTGTTTCCCATCTTGGCTATTTGTCTACTATTCGTTTTCCACTTCACTTATACTTTCCATTCCAGGCACATCAGGTGAGTATGCTGTGTTTTACTTACTGCTCTGCCTGAATACCTTTGCTCTCCATCTCATCTTTCCATATCTTATTTATTCTTTAAGAAAATGTCCTAGAGCAAATGTCACTACTTTTGTGAAGCCATTTCTTACTCAACCCTTGCATTAATTTAACATTTCCTTATAATAGAATTGGGGCTTTAAAAAGGAAAAAAAACCATACAGTCTGTTTTATATTGTCATTAGTTGTATATTTTGCTGATTTCCTTTACTAATCTCTGACTTCCTAGGAGGTAGTAAATATGTATTACTCAACTTTGCATTGCTGTTACCGAATATACTGCTAGGAGCATAGAAGATAATAAATACTTCAATTCATGATAATCAGGTTTTGAGCAGAACTCTGACTTACTCTGCTTTCACAAGATACCTGTTGAAATGAATGGAAACATTGATAGGCTTGATTGTCAGCAAGAAACATTCCTGAAATATTAGAATTTACAATTTAATGTTAATAGACTTTTAGTGTTGAGAGTAATTTATTTCTTGCTAAGTTATCAAGAAACATCCTGTTTAAATATAATAAAAATCATTTATAAAATACAGAATTACACTTATAAAAGCCTGTTGAAATGAACCAAGTCTGGTAATACTATTTTTAAAATACCATCAAAAGAAATTAACTCTCAAATAATCCAGAAAAAGTAAATTTGGTGACTAAAATTCCCTGTATTTCTCTAGAATTTTTCAAGGGAATAGTATCTGGATAAGTCTAAATGATTATTTCACTTGGTATGAGAGCTACAGTCTTATGTGAAACATCAAATATTCATGAAGACCACGAAAGAGGAATACTATATATAACCTGGGTATTTTTTTTTCCAAGAGTAGGACTTTCATTATACCTTAAGTTTCTGGTCACCAATATACACTGAATAAACCAAATAAAACTGAATATGCAGTACTGATAATCAGCCTAGTATATTTATTAATTTGAATTATTAATTTGGACATAGTTAATTAACATATTTGGAGGTAGACATGAAGAATGTTACCGGATAGAGCCCAAAATCAGTTGCTTAAAATGCAAATATGGGAGGGCTGAAGCAGAATTTCAAGATCAGCACCAGATACAGAGATATGAACATATAGTATATGATCAGAAGCAAACATATAACCTCTCTCCCTTCCTTCTTCTTTCCCTTAATGAAGGTTAATTTAGTGCTTATTATGTGCCAAGCACTGTGCTAGAAGCTGGAGATACAGAAATAAAAAAACCTTTGTGAATTCTGCCCTCATAGTTAAGTGAAGGAAAAAGGAAATAAATTTTTATTGTAATACACATAAAATGCTATAATAGAAGCAGGAACAAAATTCTGTGAGGAGGAAGAACCTTTAAGATTGCACAGGAAGAGAGGAGGAAAGTGAAATTAGCATATGAGATGGTTTCTCCCTCCAACAAGATAAAAATGTGAGAGTAGCAGATGGCAACCCCGAGTACTCCACTCAAGGAGTGTTGTGCAGTGAATAGTGAGGAGGCCTGTCTGACTGGAATACGGACTCTGTGTTGGGAGTAGGAGAATTTAAGTTTAGAAATATGACATCCATGGTTCATTTAAATTGTAAGTAGAAAATACTAGAAGTGTGATTAGATATATTGGTGAATTTTTTTTTCTAGAACCTACTTTGGAGAATACTGATAAGTAGCTCCACGAAACTAGAAGTTAAGACAGAAGAGAGAGGTAAACCAGAGTGGTGTATCCATATGATGGAATTTTTTTTTAACTGTAAAGGGTTGTTTTTATTATGTAACATAGGCAATATAAGTCAATAAATTTTTTTAAAACTTAGTATGGTGTGGTTCCTTTGACTGCCAATTGCCTTTGCTTCTCCAAAGTGAGGCATGATCTTCAATAAAAGTATTGGATTAGACTTTACTACATTGCCAATTGTGGATATGGATATGAGTGGTTAAATTCGTGTATCTCATCAGGAAAACAGCACTTACATTAAGTGGCTATTACATCCCATGGAGAACTTCAATATTTTGTCACAGAGTTAAGAGCTCCTGGTTTTGGTCCCACAAGCCCTCTTTGAAATGACCCAGTAATTATCTTTTCCTAGTGTGTACATACCTTTTAAAATCAACTTTTGTTCAATCCAGTTATTATTAGTCAGTCCTACATATAACAGAAATATAAAATTAAGGATTAAGTTTCCATTTAACTTCTGAAGCTAGCTTTGTTTGCTCATTAAAAGTTGCCTAGTTACTAGTAAACCCAGAAATATTTCAAACAGGCAAAGAACAGCTGCAAGATCCTAGAGGTCAAGGCATGCCCTGTTCACTGTAACAACCACTAGCCATGTATGGGTCAGTGACGATTTAAAATACGCCTGTTGTACGAACCTCAGTGATTACCAATGGCTATTACAAAGTCAAATATGGCTTTTGTATTTACATTGGACAGCGCTCACGCAGGTAATGGAAATAAATCACAGAAGGGTTAATAACATGTTCCCAATAGACTGAATGCTAACAAGGTAGCAGAAAAGAAAACCTAGTGGGAAATTTTTTTTTTATGGTCACGTCCACAGCAAATGAGAAACTGCATTCTAAAAGCCTTGGTAATGACCACATATGATGGAATTTTATTTGGCCGTATAAAGCAATGAGGTACTGATATATGTTAACAATAGAAAGCAGTAAGCTAAGTCAAAGGAGCTAGACACAAAAACCATATATTATATGATTCCATTCATATGAAATATCCAGAACAGCGGTATCTATAGAGATGCGAAATAGATTAATGGTTGCCTAGGGCAGAGTGTAGGAGGGACCTGCAGGGGTAAGGGGAGGGGCCATCTTTATGAAGTGATAAACATGTTCTAAAATTGATTGTAGTGATGGTTGCACCTATCTGTGATTATATTAAATCCATTGAATTGTATGTTTTTAGTGGGTAAATTGTATGGTATGTGATCTATATTAAGATATATTTTTTAAAGGTACTAAAATATAGCCTTTTCCTTTCTTCTGAGGTTTCTTTCTGGACTTGCAATCGTATCACCTGAGATTTAATATTCTAAATAAAGAAAAAGTATAATTTAAGATTATCAGCATGACTTTTAATATTCACTATTGTATTGTGCAGTGTCAGTTTTAAATGCAAATACAAGAGAAAATAATCATGCAGAATTACCAAAATTACACAACTCATATATTGTATCTCATTCATGCACGAGTCTTTCATTCTTAACCAGAACAGTGGAAATGCTGCACAAAACTAACTCAACTGTTTTATATCGCTTCTTGATATGCACATATTCTACGAGCACGATCTGCAGCTTACTGAGGAGTAAGGAAGAACCACTGAAAGGAAAAGAACTATGGTTGCTCTCTTTCCCTTTCCTTCTTTGTCATCATTTTTCCATGTAAGTGGTTGGCTAATAAGGGGAAGTAACATGAATAAGAAAATATATGATAGGGTTCCTTAGTCATTTGGGTTTTTTAGGATGCCACTGCTTGCTTTCTGCATTCAAGGCTATTTCTGGTTTGAATGGACAGCGTGGCCTCTCAGGGCTGTCAGAGCTGCACTTAGTTTTGCATGTAACATGCTTATCTGGTACTTGCTTTGAATTTTGTTGAATTCTCAGGCATTGTACATATCCACCACAATTCTGCATTCTTGAGGCAAATCTACAAAGTTATGTGCAAATTTGGCAAATAAACTGGAGGGCACTCCTGTCTCCTCTGCTCATGCACAGGCCACATGGCCTGTGACTTCACTTACAAAATACAAGTTCAAAGATAAAATTATTAAGAATTTTAAGATGGAGATAGAACAGCATTAAAGCAAGTGTGGGGCACTTTTGACTGTGCAGGTTTCATGCCCATGAAGACAACTGATTGAAATACTGATTTCCAAATTATTTTAGATATATCTTTGGATAAGCAATGCATCTGGGGGCATAAAATTTCTTAACTTCTAATCTTTTGTCTGAGTGACTTTGAGCAAATGATGGTTTATTCTGTAGACTCTCAGAAATTAATTGGATGTTTTCTCCTCTCCTTACATTGTCCCAACTTAAAAAAGCCAGAAGACTGAATAATTGAGTAGTTTTTTCAAATCTTCCAGATTCAGTTTAATGAAAAGTGAAAATACATGTCATGATCACTTGGCTATCTAGGCATGAGTCTAAGTGGGGAACAGATTGCCCTGCACAAAAGGTTTTAATCCCCAAGAGGAGCTGTGGTTTGACCGGGAAAACAAGAAGGGGTTGAACAGTTGGATGTTGTGGGAAGCATGGCTGTGGTTCGTTGGGGCCCACATCATGATTCACTGGGGCATGCATCTGGTCTGGATGTGCATCAGATAAACCAGGTGGAGTCTGAGAAAAAGCTCATCAGTACCCCTCAACCCTTTCCAGAATAAATGAATGTACAGATAGTTTGTAAAATTAAAATCACAGATGCTCAGTGATCCTTTTAAATAACTTTTTATCTATAGCTAATTTAAAGGCTTTAATAAGTGGAGGCCATCTATACAGAATACCTAAGAGAAGTATTCTGATAGTAAGGTTTTTTTTTATAATACTCTTTAACCAGAAAAATGCTTTCATTAGGTTTCATGTAGCTAAAGCACAGAACACTTCTAAGATATTTTATAACTATTACAATAATAGGAGCTCAAAAATATTTACTGAGTGTAGAATTAGATGAAATAATCCAGTTTTGAAGAAAAGTTAATAAGCTGGGGTGATAGGCCACTAAATACTATTGAAGACAATAAATTCTATTATTCATTATTCTGTTAGTAAGAAATGCATGTTAACTGACAACACTTCCATTTTTAACCCAGTACTATATAATGATTAAAGGGTTTCATACACAGTCCTGAGACCCAGATAATAATTTAAAATGTTTAATAGTGAGATTACATTCAATTTTATTTTAATAACATCTTAGTTCAATGCTTTGAAGCTTTAATTCCCAGAACATCATATCTATAGTACATGTGGTGTTTGATTACCAACATATCCTATTATCTGACCAAATATACTCTAAAAAATGATTTTATTAATTTCTAGATTAAGATTTCCAAAATTCTCTATATGTCATCAAAAACATATTTCTGCTTTTCAATTTTTTTTCATTCTTGTCAAATAAATGTAATGAATTAATTTTTTCAGACCCTTGCCCTTTTGAGGTTATAAAATTCATTTTTGTTGCCTTCTTGTGTCACAAGCCCTGCTATCAAAACAATATACTCTTTTAAAAATTACATGATGCAACTGTAAGTTTTATCCCTGTGCAGATGGTTAAGGGAGGTGGAAGGATGGGAAATACAATCCCAAAACAATCTTCATGGCATTGTTCAAGTATAGAACAATCAAATAGCCCACCTAGATCTTCTACGTTAAGAACACTTAAATGCATGAAAAATTGCACCAAGCTAAACCTTTAAAAATGATGGTGCATCTAGCTTTGTTATTCTTAAAGAAAACTATTTAACTATGCAAATAGTGCCAAAAAGAGATTTTTGAAGCTTCTGTCCTGATTAAACTTCCTGGACATAAGGTTGTAGAAATTAAAATTTTTCCTACAACTCTCTCCATTCCCTTTATTTGACTTAAATGAATTCCCGTGGTACTGGACTCTGTATGTAGGGAACAGCCTTATCATGGATGACATCAACCAAGTTTTATTAAAAGATGCTTTATCTAAAAGAAGTCTATGTTAGTAATCCAAGAACCAATAAATGATCATTACCAGCACAGATCATCTGTGAACTGGAAAGCTGCATTGAAAACAGTGAAGTCAAAGAGAAACAATGTGCTTTTTTATCAACCAGACTGATGGATTGAGGAAATGCTATTGTTGCAATGTTTCCTGAATAGAGCAGGGAAGCTGATAAAAATTTTTCATGTTGTCTCCTTTAAGATTTTAAAGTGTTGGCAGGATGATGACATTACACATGACTGTATAGTTGATAGGACATTGAACCCAATTCCATAACAGTTTGGAGGGTATTCCCTAACAGTCTAGTAAAGTGTCCTGGGCAAGTTCTCGAACTTGCTCAATTCAAGATTTAGATCAGTGATTTAGATCATGGTTTTGAAGGCTGGTCTGTTTTAGCATAACTTCATTCAAGTAAAATCTTCACAATATTAAATCCATTGAATTGTATGTTTTTAGTGGGTAAATTGTATGGTATGTGATCTATATTAAGATATATTTTTTAAAGGTACTAAAATATAGCCTTTTCCTTTCTTCTGAGGTTTCTTTCTGGACTTGCAATCGTATCACCTGAGATTTAATATTCTAAATAAAGAAAAAGTATAATTTAAGATTATCAGCATGACTTTTAATATTCATTATTGTATTGTGCAGTGTCAGTTTTAAATGCAAATACAAGAGAAAATAATCATGCAGAATTACCAAAATTACACAACTCATATATTGTATCTCATTCATGCACGAGTCTTTCATTCTTAACCAGAACAGTGGAAATGCTGCACAAAACTAACTCAACTGTTTTATATCGCTTCTTGATATGCACATATTCTACGAGCACGATCTGCAGCTTACTGAGGAGTAAGGAAGAACCACTGAAAGGAAAAGAACTATGGTTGCTCTCTTTCCCTTTCCTTCTTTGTCATCATTTTTCCATGTAAGTGGTTGGCTAATAAGGGGAAGTAACATGAATAAGAAAATATATGATAGGGTTCCTTAGTCATTTGGGTTTTTTAGGATGCCACTGCTTGCTTTCTGCATTCAAGGCTATTTCTGGTTTGAATGGACAGCGTGGCCTCTCAGGGCTGTCAGAGCTGCACTTAGTTTTGCATGTAACATGCTTATCTGGTACTTGCTTTGAATTTTGTTGAATTCTCAGGCATTGTACATATCCACCACAATTCTGCATTCTTGAGGCAAATCTACAAAGTTATGTGCAAATTTGGCAAATAAACTGGAGGGCACTCCTGTCTCCTCTGCTCATGCACAGGCCACATGGCCTGTGACTTCACTTACAAAATACAAGTTCAAAGATAAAATTATTAAGAATTTTAAGATGGAGATAGAACAGCATTAAAGCAAGTGTGGGGCACTTTTGACTGTGCAGGTTTCATGCCCATGAAGACAACTGATTGAAATACTGATTTCCAAATTATTTTAGATATATCTTTGGATAAGCAATGCATCTGGGGGCATAAAATTTCTTAACTTCTAATCTTTTGTCTGAGTGACTTTGAGCAAATGATGGTTTATTCTGTAGACTCTCAGAAATTAATTGGATGTTTTCTCCTCTCCTTACATTGTCCCAACTTAAAAAAGCCAGAAGACTGAATAATTGAGTAGTTTTTTCAAATCTTCCAGATTCAGTTTAATGAAAAGTGAAAATACATGTCATGATCACTTGGCTATCTAGGCATGAGTCTAAGTGGGGAACAGATTGCCCTGCACAAAAGGTTTTAATCCCCAAGAGGAGCTGTGGTTTGACCGGGAAAACAAGAAGGGGTTGAACAGTTGGATGTTGTGGGAAGCATGGCTGTGGTTCGTTGGGGCCCACATCATGATTCACTGGGGCATGCATCTGGTCTGGATGTGCATCAGATAAACCAGGTGGAGTCTGAGAA